TCCGTGGTCGAATTCAATTCAATTCAATTCATTTTATTTGGATAGCCCAAAATCGCAAATTACAAATTTGCAATTTACTAATTTTTGTACAGTGTGTACACATACAACATCCTCTGTCCCGAAACCCACCATCAGCACAGGAAAAACTCCCCAAAAAATGAGGGGGTCTCAAAGGGGTCATGTGTTTAAAGGAGAAACGCACCAATCCATTTTGGCCCCATACGTCACATGGTCTTGTGTGGACCTACTTTAGCTATGAAGGGAGATGTTTTTTTCCTGCGGTGACATTCTACAGTGACACAGGCTGGAATCAAACAGTAAACAACCCACAATCAGGAATCACAACATCATTTCATTCACATGCACTTTGGATTGGGAAAATTGGGAGAAATTAACATAAAATCCATTTCACCAGGGACGAAATGCTCCATTTGTTTAAAAAATAGCTAATCATGACTATTTTACAGACTAATCTCATAAAATGACATGCCTTAAATTAATAGAATGGGCTTAGCTTAGCCTAAGCAAAGGTAACCATAGGTAAGGCAAAGCGTTTCCATCAGCAGATTCATTTACACATCATGTCTCATGTGCTTAATCTCAAAAACAACAATTTGCTGTGTTATGGGGGAGGGGGGGGACTGTTTCCTGGCGGCCATGAGCAGTTGCCAGGTAACCAGCAGGAAGACTGTAGGAAGTCGCCCAGCTGGCGGGTTCTCACTTCTCTGAAAACGCAAGGGCACATTTTCAAATTCAAAATCATTTTTATAAATCAACTGTGTATCCAAAATCTAAACTGGTCCTTTCCTCGCTATCAGCCCGGGTTCTCCTGGTTTAACACGTAAATCAGCGGGAACACGCATCACCCAGGTATCTGACTTTTTGTCCGCTGTGTGTTGATTCCACAGCAGATTAAAATTCTGAAGCACTCATTTGACTCAAAGACATTGTGACGTCACCCCGTTGGTGTGCGGACTTCAGTTTGGCATTTAGCCATCGCCTTTAAAGTGACCATATTTTGACGGTGGAGGAGTGATGGAGAGACGCCATAGATTGCACTGGCATCATTAAAGACCCATCAATCACAAGGTAGCCCCGGTAGCTCAGATGTACCCACCATCAGCTGTAACCCCCATCAACAGAAACCATTGGGAAGGGAAAGGACAAAGGCTTCAGGAAAGTTTATGATGGCAGTAACAGTAATGTGACTAACAGCAGCAGGTGTCAGAAGGACCATGGCAAGAGGCAGGACCAGGATCCAGATAGAAGCAGGATTTATAAAAACGGCATCATTAGGCTGAAAAAGCAAAACAAACCCATCACAGAGATCATCATTAGGTCATTCATCAAGTGTGGCCAAATCAATCAACCACCCGTTTGGTACATTCTTAAAAAGACGGCAAGCTCTAGTGAGCTTCGCAACACCAAAAGACCCAGAAGACCAAGGAACACCCCTGTGGTTGATGAGGGGAGGGCTCTTCAACCAGGTAGAAAAACACCTTAAGCTGTGGGTCGGATCTAAAACACTCTCCAAGTCACCTGACATGAATCAATTGAGCCTGCATTTCACTTGCTGAAGACAAAGCTAAAGGGGAACAGCCCAAAGACCAGCAGGAGGTGAACAGTGTAAGCAGGGGCCTGGCGGAGCATCAGCAGGGAATGGGATGTCTATTGCTTCCACACTTCAGGCTGTCATTGACTGCAGAGGATTGGCGGCCAAATATCAAAAGCGACAATTTGAATTATGGCTGTTTTACTTTATCCGATTACCATTGTAAGTCGCTTTGGAGTGACATAATGTAACGTAATGTCCCTTCAAAAGGGAGGACCATTTTTACTATTTGTAGTAATTACATCACCGTTCATCTGATTTGGATGTCTATACCCGGAAAATGAAGCTGAGTCGGCAGTCAAAGCATCTTGATGGTTTCCTTTCAAATCCATTGTGATTGTGTACCGAGCCAAAATGACCCAGGACTTCATCAAATAAAACATTTGCACGTAGAGGGCTGTCCACATTAATGTGTTAATCTATTCGATTAATGTGGCCGAGATGAATGCGATAAATGCATTTAATCAATTTCACAATGTGCGATTAATTAATTGTTTTTTTACTCTATTGAAAGCCCTACTTTTTTTTCTCAGGGCAGGAAGATTCCAGACCACTGGGAAGTCTGAATGTGATGACACACTCAGAGAAACCCATGTAGCCGGTCACTGTGTTGAGCCTACGGACAAGCAGCGGCCATATCGTGCCTGTGAGGAGTCTTCTTGTGGACGCCGCAGTGTTTTCCGTTGTCTCCTGTGTCCATTGTTCCTGTCTTCTGTGAGGAGAGGGTTTGCGTTTCCTGTGATGCTCTGATGTCCTTGTGTCTTCCTTGTTGTCTTGTTATCTAGTCCTCTTCCCTTTCCCCTCCAGCTGTGCCTCGCCCAGCGTTCAGCACCCTGGGTATTTATACCCGTCTTTGCGCTCTCCGTCATTTGGCTTGACATCTTTACTCAAAGCGGCTGTGTTGCCCATGGCGACCGGGCTGCCTTTGCTTCCTGGACATTGTGTTCCTAATCTGAGAAAAGGTAGTTAATTATTTATTCCCTGGCCTGTTGTTTCTTCTTTTCTATTCCGACAATGTGTGATGGATTTAAAAGAAACCCTGTTAAAGCAGCTTGTCAGAGAACAGACATATCAATACAGAGCACGGTACGTATATACACAATGACAGTGGAACATGAACAATGAAATATTCTGGATCACTGCCTGAACCTCATTGTTGAAGATTAACACTTTCATTGTGCCGTTCAGATCAGGTGTTTCAATTCTAGTCAACCAGCTCCCTCCCGTGTTCATCTCCAGAACTACATCTCCATGGGAAAGAAAAAAAGTGATGTGATAAAGCAAAATGAGGTGTTGAAACTGTCTTAACTGTCACAATTGATCCCGCGTGGATGGAACAGGCATAAGTGGAGGAAGGAGAAACTTGGAAACTTGTTTCACTATGGGAATCGCCTCGGCGTGACCAACTAAGGAAGCTCCAATGACACCACGCCACGCAGTGACAGACAGGTCGAACTGTGCTGGGGCCCCGCCCCCTCATGTTACCACAGCCGACCGCCCCTCGCAAATCATTCTAGAGCGATTTCTTTGTGTCAATGCAAGGAGGGATGTGTGGTGAAACACCTCACTCTGTTATCAAAGAACCGTAACCCAAAGTTCTTTTTCTAACTTCGTTTGGTGTTTCACTACGGGAGATACAGACCGCTCCCGTATTGCATGCCGTTCCCGAAGCCAAAGACTGTTTAGCCCGGTAATGACCATCACAGGGACTCTGGCGCGTTGGCCCCTAGCACAGCGTGTGCTAAGGAAGGCCCTGAGACATCTAGCCTGTAAATGCTTAGACAAGTGTGAAATGTAGACCAGCTTGCTGCCGCACAAATATCCTGCACTGGAACCCCCTTGAACAGGGTCCATGAAGGGGCCGTACTCCTCGTGGAATGAGTCCTCAAACCCTGGGGGGGCTGCAAACCCCTACAGCTATAGGCTAGAGATATGGCCTCCACAATCCAGTGGGACAGCCTCTGGCGTGACAATGGCGTTCCTTTGTGAGAATTGGCCCAGAACACGAACAGCTGAGCTGCTGTTCTGAAACGTGCCGATCGACTCACATACAAATGGAGGCTGTGTAATAAATATTGGCTGTGATTGGAATACGGGACTGGAGCTGTCCCTGACGGGACATATCAAAATCACCCATATACCGGGATGTCCCGGACAATTCGGGACGGTTGGCAACCCTACGTAACGCTCTGTGGGTGTTTGTTAACGGGATAAACCCTGTGTTAGTTCGTTAGGCAGCCGAGGTGAGACGTCGTTCTGGTTCTTTAGAACCAGCTGTGATGCCACCGTGTGGCCAGTCCCCTCCGCTGCGCGTTTCAGTGCATTTGTCACCTCCCTGTTTAACCTGGGCAGTGCTCGGGTACACAGAGGACTAAACGGTCACCTTCATGATGAACAGAAGAGAGACGACTGAAGGAGTCTCGTATCTCGTGCTTTACAAACACAATATGATGCAGAGGCAGAAGTCTTTGCTTTATTCTCAGTTTAGTTGATGAGCTGAACTGGTAAAATGATTTATTTTTTATAATACATACAGGAACTTCAAGCACCAAGTTTATGCCCTCAGAAATGTAATCAATCAATAAATAGAAAGTAAAGTCACACATGAAATGTTGAATATGTGAACAGATTTTACAACAAGGGAGTAACTGATCAGTTGTATCCTGATCATTTAAAAAAATAGAACTATATCCCTCAGAAAGTCAAACTAGTCTCACGTCCATCACCCACTACCCGGTCACCATGGTAACCGGTGTCAAATTAGATGCAGGAACCCTTTCTGCCGCAACTCATAACTGCCGTAAAGCGAAAGCAGCGGAGATATTGGGGGCGTCCTGGTGGGACATTTCCATACAGGCAACACGCCGACTCCTTTCAGCCTCTAGATGAAGATCAGTGAGCTACGTTTTGCCCCGTGCAGTAAAATGTTCCCCTCTGTGGAAGTCTGGTCCAAAACACATACAGTTTATGACTTTAACTAATGCTCAGAACTGCACATTTAGGCAAAGCAAGCTCGCAACTCCAGCATGCTAACACACTCAACTTTATGCAACCTCCACAAGCTACTATTTAGACTTTAATATGTTTCTGGCAGAGGGATCGGTGTCACAGAGCGCTTTTGGAATATTGAACATTGTCATGGAAACGTTAAAATAAATGGTTCACAATGAAGCAACAGCAGGCCGTGTGTGTGTGTGTGTGTATCGACTTTCAGATTGAGACCCTCTAAAATGCTGGAGAATCATCGAGGCCATTTTCTGGGTCCGCCTCGTGAATAAGTGAAGAGTGTAAAGTCTAGAGCCGAGCTGAAGTAAGACCAGGGCGACACACCCGCTGACCTGGGAACTGACTAGAATGAGCAGATGAAGCTTTATGCAGCTTAGACACCTTCTGAAAACTCAAACATCTACTTTTTATTTGTATTCATGGAGGTGTGGTTGTTTTCTTTCACACCCTCATACATCTCGTCAGAACTGATATGAAGAAGGCCAGTTTCACAGTCTGTGTGTAAGTCCCGTTTAGGAGGTCCAGCGCCACCAGGTCACCTTCATGCGGTCCCAGACGGCGCCTAAAGAGTCGTAGGCGGGGCGCACGTCCAGGATGGAGAACTGGTAGTTCTCCTTGTTGATTTCTCCGTCGTAGTAGTCGATGACGTAGCGCACCTCCTTCCCACAGCGGTCGATGATCCAGTCGTGGCGGTCGAAAGGCAGCTCATAGCTGAGGAAGAGGAGAGAGATGAAGCCAACGACATAAGATGGTACTCGTCTTTTAACGCGACTTCCTACATGAAGCAAGGTTTATATATCACACACTGGCTACAGAAAGGCGGGAGGTGGAGGGAGGGCAGCTCACCCCATCCAGTGGCGGAAGCGAGCCCTGGGGGAGAACTCTTTGGCTTTACCCCCAAACCTCTTCAAGGTCGGCCCACATGGACATTCGCTGCAAGACAACACACTTCTCAGGTAACAGTATCACAGTCTTCTGAGCAGCACTAAACGACATCAGTCACAGTGACAGCTGCCCGTCAGGATGAACGAACCACCAACCAGCTCTCACCCTGCGTGCAGCGCCTCCCACTTCAGGATCTCCTGCCAGGCCTGCTCGTTGTTCGTGTTGTGGATTTTGATGATGTTGGTCATATCTTTCTGGCCAAGGTCGTCCTCACGCCAGCGCCACCTGCAACGTCAACAAGGCGGACCGTGGCATCAGATAAAGAACCGACACGCATTCTCTCCACCTAGTAGTAAATAAACAGAAGGACTGTGCAGTGGAATTCCTCCATGTGTCAAACACAAGGGTGGTGAGTGGCAAACAGACAGCGTTACCCACTGATATGGCTAAGCTAGCTGTTATGCTAAGCTAGCTGTGTCCCTGAAAGACTGTGGTTTGGAAAACGTCCTGGCTAAGCGTGGAGGTTGTTGGCACTTCAAACACAGCAGTCAAATGATGGAGTTGAGAGCACAGTGCAGGAGGACAGCAGGAAGAGGCGTTCCACATGTTCCACCCGGGGGGCAAACCTTGACTCCAAACTACAAAAGAGACCCCTTAACAGTCCTACAATTGGGGCAATACATTTTTTTAGCTGCATCATAAGCCAGCCATTCTCTAGTGGACCTCCACTTTTTCTTTGTCTTTTCTTTCTCTTTGAAACGGGTCTTCATCTCCACGCACATCGGTCTGCTAACAGTTGGCCACGTGGATTCACATAAACCACCTCTGCCACCAATGTAACCGGGCGCTCTGGGTTTGTGGATGATGTAATCATGACACATTAATAACTGCCGTTGCACTACAATTAAAAAAAAAATTGAATTACACCACAAAAGTGGCTAGTGAGAAAGAGACAGCTTCACCTGCCACAGCCGTATTCTACCCGCAGTTGGCGGGTGCTAATGTCAAGTAATTTCATTACTACTATTGTGTAGGTCTGTGATGGCTAAAGGTGGTGTTACATGGTGGAGAACCCCAACACACCCTGCGCCACATCCTGACGGACAGGAGTACGGACTGACCCTTTCCGCAGCATGGCGTTCCAGAACATCTGCTCAGATGGGTAAACCCACTTCTTGTCTGTGTCGTGGCGAGGGATGGAGGACTCCTCTCTGGCCAGGGGGAGGGCAAAGGGCTGGTCTGGGGCAGGAACTTGGTTAGGAGGAGGCATCTGTACACATGGGCAGCAGGGACAGTGCAGCAACACTTAGCGTTTGTAATGCTTGATGGCTAGCTGTAGCTCGCGTCTCCTATTATTCATGGTCACTCTCCATCCACCCGATATGCTCGTTTCCTACACTGTGGCGGTGCAGTTACCATGTTCGATGGGTCGATGTCACTCTTTGTGCCCTCTGCTGCTTTCATGGGACACTCAACAAAGTCATAGGCCCGGTCCTGATGAGCTGGACCTGGTACCGCTTTGTGCATGGGACACTCCGAGGGAGGAGAGGCTGCAAGACACAAGCGCACAGGATTGAGGCACCGTTGGTACAAACAATGGACAGTAATACCTTAAAAGCTCCAATACCAATGTTGAACAAATCTGACAGAACGCAGCCAAAGACGGTCACATTTTCTGTTTGATGTACCTACTTTTCTGATAAAAATTGGAAAGCAGAATTATAAAGTTACCTTGGGCGGGCTGAGCTTGATGCATGGGACACTCTGGAGGAGGAGACACTAAGCGAGGCACACAAAACGGCTGACGTCAATATCATTTCACCAATTACTGCTAGAAACAAAAACTACAATCAGGCTGAAAGTAACAGAGCAGAACGTTTGCTAGCACCTTTGACAGGCGGGGCTTCTTTGTGCATGGGGCAGCCCTGCGGGGGGGCGGTCATCATGGCCTCCGCCCGGACAGAGGGAGCAGCGGGTGTAGACAAGGAAGCTCCCATCCTGCCCTGTCAGATGAGCACACAGACAAGCGCAGTCAGGTCGACTGCTGAGGGTAAGCAGGGGCTACATGCTAACCGCTAGCTGGCCGAGTGTAGTCTGCAGCACAGTACTGAATGCTGGCCTCGACGTCCTCCCAATGTGAGGAAGGATTCATTTACTCCACATAAAGCGCTTATAAACGACAGGGCGAGAGCTAACGTTACGTCTGTATTTGACAAGTGAGCTCTCGGAGTAAAGCGGGAATAAGATTATCCTGTAGTATAATAACTGAGAGTAGCTTGTTAGTTACAATAGTCAACTGATATCAAATAGCAACCGTCAGAATGTCTCAACAGCCCGACATCTGATCCGACCACCAGTTATCCTTCATTAACCTCACGGTGAACGTTAGCATCAACGCTAAAGTAGCGACACTCCTTTAAATCGCAGATGTATTCAAATAGGATGGAATGAGGCAGTGAGGGGAGATGGTGAAAGACAGACAAGCACGCACATAACGATACTGGTGCTTTCTAGCTGGGTGAGCTGAATAGGAACTGTCATGAATCGTTAGCTACCTAGCAGCTATGCTAACGTTAGCTAGTGTTTACAGTCTTACTTGCCCTCTAACGTGCTTTAAAAAGAAACCAAACCACGTTAACGACACATACACGTTGCTCTCTGTTTAGTAACATTATCTCCAGCATGGTGTGAACATAATAAGAGCGACAGAAACACACACGTTACCTGTGAGAGAAGTCAGTAGAGAGACGCTCCTGTGTCGGTTTGCTATTCCAATGTCAACGTGCAGGACACGCTGCTGATTGTGTGTGCGCTGCGTAAACTCCTACGTCATCACGTTGTACGTTACACAAGGACATACACGTCTGGTAACATCAGGGTGATATAACATCGTTACATAGCATGCTAAAACGGGGGGGGGGGGTGTTCTATGCAAAACACAGGAGCGGCTTGTCAGCCTCGGATGTATCTGATCATCTTTGCCACCACATTATAAACATGGACGCACAAACATCTTGATTATCAGATGGCCCAGAACACCGTGTGCCTCTATGTGAAAGAGCACAGTCTCTGTCGTACTAAGGTTGAACAGTTTTTCCAACAAATAATATGTAACGTGTCACGCGCGTTCCCGAAGTATTAGTTTCCTTATTTTGTTTTGCTCGGACGGGCGGTGTTTCCCTTTAACTTCTCGTAACGCAAAACACTTCTCGCGAGATCTCCTACTGGAAACCCTGAGAAGTGTACGAAACTCAGGATTCAGGTATGGCGGCAAATCACTGTCAAAACTCGAGAGCGCAAATCAGGTTGATGCGCGCGCGTAAACACAAACGACACCTGTCTGTAACCGTAGTGGACCGTAGGTGACAACCAGCTACAACCACAATTTACCACCATTACCGGCACTTCGGCCGCACATTAGGACTGATGCGTCCAGCTCGCAGACTTTAGATAAGTGTACATCTTCTCCAAGCTACACCGGACCTGTCCAGCCTGGAGCTCCCTGTGTGTTATGCGGTGTGGAGTGAGTGCGTGAGAAACTTCAAAAAAACGTCAAAGGCTCAGAGCGAACTCGGTTTTATTCACTTCAGAACAAAAATCTTACAGAGAAAAAGGGATAATGAAATGTGTAACAAAAACGGAAAAGGTGTGGAGATCTATTACCATCTCCGGTGGTAACAACTAAGCAGGAAAGCAAGAAAGCAAGCAAGCCCTGTTCTCCGTTAGAACTGTCCCTTTTATAATACCAGAAAGTCTGGAGATTCAGGAGCTTTTTCAGACTTCAGACATCTGCAACACCACAAGTCCCAGAGAGCTGTGGACCCCCCCGAGCAGCTCAGGTTCCCCTCACCTGCATCTACACCCACATGAACCAACATCTGCTGTGTGACGTCCTGTACACACTGAACTATGTGGTGAGCAGAGAGGAAGGTTCTCCACCAGGAGGAGGCTCCTCATGCAGAGAACACAGAGACACTGAATCACCAACCCAGAACCCAAACCCGGGATAAAGAGGTTCAGTGAATGTGCTGCTGAAGGTGTGGAGGTGGGTCAGTGTGTCAGAGGAGACTCTGTAGAAGGACAGAGAGCCAGCAGGACCGTCCACATACACTGCTAGTCTACCAGAGGAGGAGGAGGAGGAGGTGATGTGTGTTACTGTGCTATTGTGACAGACATTGTAACCATCATGAGAGCACATCAGATCCCAGGACTGATCATTCCATCCAAACCAACAGTCCCCACTGCCTCCTTTCCTCCTGATTCCTCTGTAACTCAATGATACATTAACTTCTCCTTTCCACTCGACCTCCCAGTAACAGCGACCAGTCAGACCAGTGCTACACAGCAGCTGAGCCCAGGAGTCAAATCTGTCTGGATGATCAGGATATGACTGATCCTCATCCACGCGTGTCACCTTCCTGTTGTTGTCAGACAGTTTGAGGTATCTGTGTACTGTGTTTATGTCGATTGCAATTTCACAGGAATCTGATGAGAGAACAAGACACAATACAGCTGCAGTTATTAATCATGTGTTCATCTACTGACACTTTGATGATGACATCACAGAGGTGAATGAATGATGTCACAGTGTGAAGATGGTTGAATCTTCATGAATCAAAGCACACTTACACTTCCTCAGACCTGGTCTCAACCATCGGACTCCATCAGGCTCCACCCTGAAAGGAGGAGGGGGGGTCAGAGCAGCACGGAGACATGGACATTACATCACTCTCACACACACAGCTGTGTCTTTGATGTCCACCTCTTCCTCTTCTTCTGCAGTGGAGCTTCTTCTGATTGGCCGATGACCACAGCTCATTATGTTCACTTATTCATCATCTATTATTGTAAGTGAGTGGGGTTTATAATCTTGAATAATAGTCCAACACGTTGTATATGATAACTTTATGCATCACTGTTAAATCTCTACCATCCCAGCTCTCAAAATTTCAGCCCACACTATTTTTTGTGCAGCTTTTTTTCACCACGACAAACATACCCTAGATCAGCGATTCCCAAAGTGTCGGCCGCGGCCCCTGGTGGGCCGCGAAGGTACTGCAGGTGGGCCGCGAGAGGTCATTTACAATAAATAAAAAGTTTAATTTTCAAAAGTTTGAAATTAATATAAAAATATGTATGATGCGGCACATTAGTTATGTGAAACATTAGTTGATGAAGCACAAATTCAAACGGACAGATTAATAAAACAATAAAGCTCTCGCTCGAAACGGCTGCTCTTGTCCGCCTGTCGTTGTTCAACAAATGGGGCGCCCTCTTGTAGTATTAAAATAAATATACCGTATTTTCCGCACTCCAAGGCGCACTTAAAAGCCTTTAATTTTCTCAAAAAACGACAGTGCCTTATAAGCTGATATAGCTGAACCATCTTAACGGGGAAAATAAGTTATTCTAAAAGCAGCCAAAGATTTAAGGCGTGGATGGCGAGGGGGGCGGCGGAAGCGGACGCACCTTGCGGCATCGATCGGACCCTGAAAGCACCGTCTCCACCTTACTGTCAGAAAGAACCACAGTGAGCGCGTAGAAAACTCCTTCCAGCGCGAGCAGAGATTCTCCTCACGAGCAACGAAGTTCACGTTTCACAAGCGAATACCTCGCGGAGACGAACTTTTGCTCGCGGATGTTTGATTTTGGTTAAATTCTTAAGGTCATTTAACCATTGTGTTTTGATCAGAGTTGTGATTAAAGGTTTGGGTGGGCCGCAAAAGATTTTCAGATTTCAAATTGGGCCGCGGCCTTCTTGAGTTTGGGAACCGCTGCCCTAGATGAAATGTAGTCTCTTCCGGATGATTTGACTCACCGGGAAACTAAATACAATTACCAATACAATGCTAGACAGTTCGACATAATGTCCTTTTGTATGGGACATCTTCAAAATTCTGATCTCTGAATATCTACACAATGCTACAAAATCTAAGATGGGAATACACCCAAAACCAAGACAAGTTTATGTTTGAATGCAAACTGACAAACGATGGCCACAGACCCGTCGCCCTGACGTCTGTGGTCATGAAACCCTTCGAGAGACTAGTATTGATCCACCTGAAGGACATCAGGGGGCCCCTGCTGGATCCCCTGCAGTTTGCCTACCGTGCAGACAGGTCGGTGTACGATGGGAACATGGGACTGCACCACCTTGACTCCCCAGGGACTTATGCAAGGGTTCTGTTTGTGGACTTCAGCTCATCGTTTAACACCATCATCCCGGAGGTACTTCAACCCACCTTGAGGCCCCACCGAGCCACGTGAGAGGAGGTAAGCAGTGCCCTGTGCTGCCAGGTTGGCCGCACTTAGCCAATTGCCAATGTGCAGAGGTATGTAACACCTGGCAGTAACACACCCTATAAGCACCTGTGGAGAATGTCCAAGTGGAAGCCCTCCGGGCAGTAAATAGGGTAGCTGCCTGTAATGTTGCACCCTGGAACCTGAGAATAGGTTGACAGACGTGAACCACTCTTCCTAGGAGACAGAACGCAAGGCGTCTGCTGTGCTCCACATGTCCAACACTGCAGGACTTAGACTTCAGGTCGGTGACTGTACATACTCCATAGTAGTATTACCCTCACGGGTTGTGACAGGGGGATCCAGCCTCAATAGTTCCCCCAGGCAGGACCTAACTCCTGGCTAAGGGCTAGGGATTTTGCCGGTACTGGTTTTCTTTATTCTATCTCTGTGCAATAACCCCAGGGTCTACAATCAGTTGCTGGTTCTTCACTGAGCGTCTGTGGCCTACTGTCGTAGTTTCAACAAGTCCACTCTTATCATCTGGGGAACTGGCTCTCAGTGCAAAGCACCAAAACCAGATGAGGCTGAACTCCTTTAAAACACCAAATGTTCCTCCTGTGATGATTCATCAAGACGGTTTGAACAGATTGTTTCTTTGACTGTTTGGGTTTTAATAATAATGTCTGGACTAAAGGACAACACACACTGGAGGCAGATGACCAGCATCTAAACATCCAAGTGTTCTTTGAGTTGTTAAGAGCCCACAAACCTGCAGCGTGACGACGTTGACTCATATAACCCACCATGATGCCCATGAACGTGTCAGGATACACCATTGTCTTCTCTTATAACATGGAAAGAAGACAAAGCTCCAGAGAAACAAGCCTTTCATCACCTTGCTCCGTAGTTCCTCACTACCTCTGTCTGTATTGATGGTCTGAAGTGGGACGTCTCCAGTAGTTGAGGCCAGCTTGGTGTGTCAGGGTCATATTAACCAGGCTGACAGTGTGACAGAGAAAATGTTTCCAGCTCTACCTCCTCTACAGACTGATGGTCTGTGGCTGCAGCCTCTTCATACCTGAGAATCTCCAGTCTCCAGTGAGGACCCTCCAGCCCAGCAGACAGCAGCTTCACTCCTGAGTCTCCTGGATGATTGTAGCTCAGGTCCAGCTCTCTCAGATGGGAGGGATTGGAGCTCAGAGCTGAGGCCAGAGAAGCACAGCCTTCCTCTGTGATCAGACAGCCTGACAGCCTGCAGACACACAAAATAAGACACATGTCACATGATCTGAGGGAGCTGTGAGGGCTGGAAGGTCACTGCAGTACTGAGAGGTCATATTACCATGGTTACAGACTGGTTTGCACTCACACAAACAAACACCCACTAATCTCCATCAACTATCTGATAACTTTATGCTTAGTCTCCAATATTTATATTAGTAACATTATAATGAAAATAACCTACATGGTTTATGGACATATTTGGAAAATACATATTTAATTTAAATCATGCAAGAAGGAAATCTTATGAAGGTGAGAAATGTACCATTGATGTAAATAAAGACACCAAGTGGACATTAATTGAATCCTGACCTGAGAGTCTCCAGTTCACAGTGTGGACTCTCCAGTCCAGCAGAAAGCAGCTTCACTCCTGAATCCTGCAGGTTGTTGTTACTCAGATCCAGCTCTTTCAGACTAGAGGACTGGGAGCTGAGAACTGAGGACAGAGCGTCACAGCTTCTCTCTGAGAGGTTACAGCCACTCAGTCTGAAGAGACAACAATCAACAAGAATAAAGATAATATTTATGTTAATCCTCTTTGATGATGAGTTTGGATTCAAATAAAAGTGTTTACAATTCTTTTAGTTCTACTTTAAACAAGATGAATAAATCAGTTAATTTGATCTACGGTTTGCAGGAAGTAGGCCTACTGTAGTATCAATAGGAATGTTTAATGTTGTTAAATACAGGTTGGGCTTCTGTATCCTCTGACTTGTTTTAAAGAAAAAGAGAACAAAGTGAATGTAAATGAGAAATGAAAACACTATGAAGAAAATCTGAAAAAGTAGAAAAGAGGGCAGCATATTTAAGTCCTGATGAATGAATCCAACTCTCTCTGTACTTACAGCACTTTGTTGGAGGCTTTGACCACTGGCAGCAGCTTCAGAAGAGCCTCCTCTGAAGCAGAGTATTTCTTCAGGTCAAACACCTCCAGATCTTCTTCTGATGACAGTAAGATGAAGACCAGAGCTGACCACTGAGCAGGAGAAAGTTCATGTGTGGAGAGAAGTCCTGATCTAAGGGACTGTTGGATCTCCTCCACTAGAGAACCATCATTCAGTTCATTCAGACAGTGGAACAGATTGATGCTTTTCTCTGGAGACACATTCTCACTGATCTTCTCCTTGATGTACTGGACTGTCTCCTGATTGGTGTGTGAGCAACCTCCTGTCTGTGTCAGCAGACCTCGTAGGAGAGTCTGATTGGTCTCCAGGGAAAGACCCAGGAGGAAGCGGAGGACCAAGTCTAGGTGTCCATTAGGACTCTGTAAGGCCTCGTCCACACCACTCTGGTAGAGACGCATTGGTTGTTCCTCTGACAGCAGATTGACACCAGAGTTGAAGAAGGTCAGATGGACATGAAGGGCAGCCAGAAACTCCTGAACACTCAGATGGACGAAGCAGAACACCTTGTCCTGGTACAGTCCTCTCTCCTCTCTAAAGATCTGAGTGAACACTCCTGAGTACACTGAGGCTGCTCTGATATCGATGCCACACTCTGTCAGGTCGGATTCATAGAAGATCAGGTTGCCTTTCTGCAGCTGATCAAAGGCCAGTTTTCCCAGAGACTCGATCATCTTCCTGCTCTCTGGACTCCAGTGTGGATCCGTCTCAGCTCCTCCATCGTACTTGACCTTCTTCACTTTGGACTGAACCACCAGGAAGTGGATGTACATCTCAGTCAGGGTCTTGGGCAGCTCTACTCCCTCTCTGGTCTTCAACACCTCCTCCAGAACTGTAGCGGTGATCCAGCAGAAGACTGGGATGTGGCACATGATGTGGAGGCTTCGTGAGGTCTTGATGTGAGAGATGATCCTGCTGGCCTGCTCCTTATCTCTGAACCTCTTCCTGAAGTACTCCTCCTTCTGGTGGTCGGTGAACCCTCTGACCTCTGTCACCATGCCAACACACTCAGGAGGGATCTGATTGGCTGCTGCAGGTCGTGAGGTTATCCAGAGGCGAGCAGAGGGAAGCAGCTTCCCCCTGATGAGGTTTGTGAGGAGCACATCCACTGAGGCCGACTCTGTGACATCAGTCAGGATCTCATTGTTGTGGAAGTCCAGAGGAAGCCGACACTCATCCAGACCGTCAAAGATGAACACAATCTGGAACTCTTCAAACCTGCAGATTCCTGCTGCTCTGGTTTCACTGAAGAAGTGATGAACAAGTCCCACCAAGCTGAACTTCTTCTCTCTCAGCACATTCAGCTCTCTGAAAGTGAATGGAAATGTGAACTGTATGTCCTTGTGGTCTTTGTCTTCAGCCCAGTCCAGAGTGAACTTCTGTGTTGAGACTGTTTTCCCAATGCCAGCCACTCCCTTAGTCATCACTGTTCGGATTGGTTCCTCTCCTCCAGCTGAGGCTTTGAATAGATCTTCTAGTCTGATGGTTGTTTCTGGTCTGGCTGGTTTCCTGGATGCTGTTTCAATCTGTCTGACCTCATGTTCTTCATTGACCTCTGCAGTCCCTCCCTCTGTGATGTAGAGCTCTGTGTAGATCTCATTCAGAAGGGTTGGGTTTCCTGCTTTAGCGATCCCCTCAAACACACACTGGAACTTCTTCTTCAGGTTGGATTTGAGTTCACGCTGACAATCTGCAGGAAGAAGTCCTGAATGAAGACAACAAAGAAGATCAATGAGTCAAAGATTAGATGTCTACATGTCCTTTCCTCAGAGAATGACAATGAATATATTCTGCCCATCTCTTGAGATATTAGTGAAGGTCTCATTTATCAGCATGGTAAGTCTGTAGAGAAATCCCCTTACTGCTCTGCAGACGCTCAGCCAGCTCCTCCTGCTTCATTCTCCTCAGGAAGTGCAATGAGATCTTCACAAATGCCTCTCTGCTCCTCCTCTGCTCTTCATCCAGCACCACCTCCTCCTCCTTCTCAAAGCATTCTGGGTAATCTGAACTCACAACCTTCTGCATCTTCTTCAGCTCGTTCTTCACAAAAGTGAGGATGTTCTCCTCTAGCAGCTGGAAAAGAATATACTATGAATGACACAAACTAGAACCTTGGAAACGAACATCAGGTCCATGTTGGACAATCCACTGGTCTGAAAAGTGCAACATGGAGATGATGGTGAACGAAGACATGTAGAAGTAGTTGTACATGTACACACCATGAAGATTGAGTCCAGGTGTGTTTGATGCTGCTGGGCAGACGGACCTGTGGGAACCTCTGAGCTCTCCTGGTCCTCTCTGTGGAGGAACATGAACCATCAGCTCACATGGTGTTTGGACCATCAACACCAATACTACAGCTACTTAAAGATATTGGCTTCTGTCATGATTGATCACCATAAAAACCAGATGCTGAAGACTGCCGATGATGAACACATTTAGCCATCAGTTTTGTCGGTTTTTAGTTCTTACTATGGGTCATAAAAACAACATCTCCAGACCTCTGCATCTGATGCAAAGTCTTATGGAACTACTCCAAACCTCTTTAGTCCGTCCCCTGACCTCTAGATCTCTCCTTAAATCTTCTGAATCTAGTCTTTGGACCTTTTCACAGAGTCTACGGAACCCCTGCATGGAGTCCAGAGACCACATCAGCTGATCCACAGAGTTTATTCTAATCCCATGTTCAGTCCCAGTCATCGGTCTCCTGCAGCTGTCTCAAGATGTGACCTCTGCTGATCCTGATGTGGAGGAACTAGCTCACGTTGTGTTTACATCGGAGGATGTTTACAGTTTATGATTCACACTAACAGACACATACACAAACATATACAGACCAGTTAGATGAAGACAGTGAGAGTAAAGAATGCACAACATTTCTGTCATTAAAAACTCAGAACAGCACGTTATCTGTTTCATCTGTTTAAGAACTTACTCTGCGTCATAAGAACAGCGTCTATCTTTGAAGGCAATCGGTTGTCCTTTAGACTGATTACTCTTCATGGACACACATCTGGGTTCAGGAGACTTTCCTCTCTGCTGATGTGAACTGAAAGAAACACTGAGATTACATCATCACATCATCATCATCTAATCATGAAGCATCAGCTCACATGGTGTCCGTCCTCACAGAGACCAAAACAAGGTAAAGGTCCAGGGCGTGAGGTCTGGATGTGGACCACATGACTCCCTGTAGTGGTTTAGGTCTACTGGTCCTACTGGTCCCACTGAGAATCAACAGCTCAGTCTTTCAGCTCACTGTTTTCTTCACCCGTCAGTTTGGTTTAGTCCCAAAAGGTCTCACCAAGTCCTCCATGGAGCTCTCCCTCCCCGACTGAACACTACTGAAGAGCCCTGGAGAAAGGCACCCAGAACCTCCACCAGAGAGTCTGGTAGAAACACCTCATCATCAGCCTGAGACCCTCAACTTGGATCAACAGAGGGATGAACATCTTTGAATTCTATAGGACGATCCATGGTCCTCTCACCTCTGAGCTTTGGTCTGGCTGTCATGTTCCCTACACAGAGGGGCTTCAGAGGGAGGGACTCCCTCCTCTGGGTCCTCACACTGATTCATAGCAGAGTCCACACCTTCACAACAACCTGCTGGGAGAGCTCACATTATTATCTTCATCAGGACAAACACACAGAGCTCATACATAAAAACAAACATCTGGATCATACTTCCAGATGTCTGGACACATAGATTAAATATAAATAAACCAAAAGTCGCGGACACATTTGTCCCGTATTTTCCTACACAACTTTGTTCCCCTCGACCGGCAAACCGACGTTTGCGGAGATCTCCCTGCGTGAATCAGAGGCCGTCCGCGCGTCCTTAAGGCTGACGCGTGCTTCTGCGTCGACGCACTCGTTTCACTTCCTGGTTGTAAAGTCTTGCGTGTGTTGCAGAGCAATTCACCCGTGCATCGACACTGCTGCTTTTCATCAAGGACACATTTGTCCCGTATTTTCTCTCTGAAAACGCAGAAGCATAAACTAGGCTTGAATTGAAACGAGTGCGTTGACACGACTGTGCGTAAAGACGCAGATGCGGAAGCATGCGCCAGCCGTTACGGAGACAAGTAGCGAAGATAAGCCGCGCCTAAAAAACTACAACTAGTCGGGCGAGTAAAGCGTGGTGAAAATTCACTTCTCTTTTGGTGTGAACGCAGCATTAGGAGGTTGACACACGAACACACACGGTGTGCCCACGGGACATACTTTCTGCCAACGCACTCACGTATTCTTCTTCCTCATATTCTGCTTCTGCTTCTTCTTCTTCCCGTTTCCGTCTTCGTCTTCTTCTTCCTTTGGTTTTGCTTTTGTTTTCTTCTTATCTTCTTGGCGGTAGATAATCGAAAATCGGCGCGTTGGCGCCATCAGCTGGTGAGGAGTGGATCACGAGGTCTGGTTCAATGAATGTGAGATGTTGAAGTGATTGACTGTGGCCAGCGAAGCTGAGCCAAACTCCTTGTAATCTCACATACTTATTATTATTATTCTCTATTATTCTCCTTCCGTACAGAAGTTTGGCACACAAGGTAACGACCCCATCCTCACCATCGTTGACCGCTTCTCTAAGAATGTTAATTTTGTGGCTCTGCCCAAGTTACCCACCGCCCGTGAGACTGCCAACCTCTTGGTGCACAATGTTTTTTGCCTGCATGGAATACCACTGGACATTGTCTCAAATCGTGGACTCCAATTCGCCGTTCAGGTATGGAGATCATTCTGTCAAGCTCTTGGTGCCACTGTCAGTCTCTCCTGGTTTTCACCCACAGACGAATGGCCAGTCGGAGAGAGCCAATCAGGACCTGGAGGCTGCGCTGCGGTGTGTAACCGCTACCAATCCCACTGCCTGGAGCGCATAACTCAAATGGATCGAATACGCCCATCATTCCCTGACCAGCACTGCCACAGGTTTGTCCCGGGTTTGACACCAGCTCCTGAATATAAACCTGGTCAGAAAGTATGGCTTTCCTCCAAAAATATTCCAATAAAGACTGAATCAAAGAAACTGGCACAACGTTACATTTGTCCTTTCGTAGTGGAGAAGATAATTAACCTTACAGCTCTCCGAAGGAAACTGCCTCGTACCATGAGGGTCCATTCCATGCATCACATTTGAAACCAGTGTCCACCAGCCCACGGATTCATCCGGACAAGCCCGGCGGGTCGCCTGGAGGCTTCCGTTGACGGGGAGGTATTGTCGTGGTCTGGGCGGTGCCCCTCCCACCAATTGACCGGCACAGCTGGAAGGAGTTTCACTAATCACGCTCCAGGCTTTATATTCTCCAACCTTCCAGTGAGTCCCCGCCAGATCGTCAGTTCACAAACCTGGAACTTATGCAAAGGCGTAAACGCACCACAATCTTGCCAGCCGTTAATGCTCTTTGTTTGCCTCAGGTTCCCTGCCACTCACATTCTAGAGTCAGCCTGCTCCAGCCAGCTCCAGCCTGCCGACCATTCCCCCCGCCTGCTCTCAACATTGTAACCCCTGGTTCTCTATAAATAAAGACTGTTGAACCTTTTCTCCCATGTTCTGCTCTTGGGTCCAGCACCACAATCAACATGACACAAAACCAGACAAAGAAAAGTAAGAAACGTACAGATAAGACAAATAGGCAGAAACACTATAAAATATGATAATACGGTGGAAGCCTGGCAGATTTGGATGGGGAGGGTGTTCCAGAGGGGAGGGGCAGCACCTGAGAAGGCCCTGTCTCACCAGGTCCGGCGCTTGGTCTTTATTGTCTTCAGCAGGTTAGCATTGGTCGACCTGAGGCAATGGGTTGGGGCATGGAGGGGGAGGAGGTCTGTGAGGTTGGTAGGGGCCAGGTTGTTTAGTGCTTTGTAGGTGAAGATATTTTGAAGTCTATCCTGTATTTCACAGGGAGCCAGTGGAGGTTACATAGGACCGGGGTGATGTGTTCATAGCGGCGGGTGGACAAAACCAGTCGAGCGGCAGAGTTCTGAACCTATTGGAGTTTGTTGAGGATTTGGCCGGGAGAGCCGTAGAGGAAGCTGTTGCAGTAGTCTAGTCTGGAGGTTATGAGGGCATGGATGAGAATTTTAGTTTTGGTAGAGGAGAGGGAGGGAACTTGGTCGTTCACACCGAGTCATGTGCGCTGCGTTTGTTTCCTGAAGGAGCCGGTCGTCTGCAGCCAACGTGTTTTTGGCTTTAGATACAAGCCAAGACGCGTTATCTATGTATATATATATATATATATATATATATATATATATATATATATATATATATATATACTAACTGTAAGACTGAATATTCTGACCTCTGTAATTGACCTCTGACCTCTGAACACACAAGTATGAAGATGAAATATATCCTAAAGGACACTAAGCTGCTTCGGGAAGTTTTCAACATAAGATTTTATGTCGGAGGTGATGACGCACAAACACACACACAAGATACACAAACACACACACAAAATAGTAGACTCTAATTTTTCTAGTGGATCCTGGACTGGACTCCGCCACCAGCTGTGATCTCCCCCGGCACCGCCAACGTCCCACGTTGTGTGTGGTCGCTATGGCAACGTGGACATCGGAGCCGAGGAGGGAGGGCTCACATCGGCGGTGGAGGAGGGGAGGAACAGCAGGGGGGGCGAGGTGGACCCCAGTGATGGATCACACGCACCATAAACCACACCCCATTAGATGAGTTAACTTTGGATTATGATTTAGAAATTGCAAGAATAAATGCACACACATCTTTTCAGTAGAATGCTGGAATCACAGTTCGGCAAGTGAAAGAATTTGGCTTATCACTGTTTAATTTGATCTCAGTGGCTGTATCGCTCCTCGCTGTGTTTGGGTGCTTCTAATACTTGGTATTGGAGGACTACAGCAGCGTCAGGTGGATGCTACGATGATTAACCAATTTGAACCAACAGAATTCTCAACAGGACGATGAGAATTGGGTAGATTGCAGCATGGATGCGTCCTCTCGATCCCCTGACGATCATATCGAGGCCTCAATGGCCTTATTTCAATAATATTCTGACACCGGATTATGAAAAGATGGTCATAGGTGACAACATGATGAATAAAGTCATTATCTGTATTGGAAAAAACGGTAGACAAGATATTTTTTTCTCTTTCTTAATGGTTCTAGACACATAAAAGTGATCCATGTGACAGTCTATATCTTTCTTTTATGTCTTGGTTTAATGCAATCATTCAATTAGTATTGAACATTTTTCATTTCCTTTTAATATAGTTATACTAATATAAACATGGAAATGTTGTAAAAACAATAATGTTCAACCTTAGTACGACAGAGACTCTTTCACATAGAGGCACACGGTGTCACCTGATAATCCAGATGTTTGTGCGTCGATTTATAAGTTAATATTCGCTTATAATGTTGTGGTGGCAAAGATGATCGTCTACATCCGACGTGGACTACCAGCACTTGGGTTTTGCCCAGAGTCCACGCTGTTTTAGCATGTTTATCTTACAACTATATATTCCTGCTCCGAAGATGAAGACCTTTGAGTAGGCTTGGCGCATGACTTGTATGTGTGTCAAGTCTGTCTCCTGTTTACAGGACACTCTGTCTCCCGTTAAATATCCTGTTTTGATGATTTTACACTGGTGTCGACTGAGATTTTTTTTTAACAATTACGATTTCTTATTTCATTCTTTAACTATGGCCTGTGGTACTACTTATTTTATATGGATATATATATATATATATATTTATTATATATATTATCATGAAAAGTACTCTTACTCAGCTTTTTTCCCAACACATATTTAACCAGCTACTCCGCTCTTGTCATTCTATGTGGATCTATTTCTTTTGTTGTTATTGTTGCGTTCTATGATACTAAGTACATTTAAAAAACAAAAGCAGTGCATCATTATTAAAATGACTGGTAATATTGCGAGCAGTGCTCTTTTTTTTATTTTTTTTAGGTGAATTTTTTTAGAGGTTGGATACAATGATGCCAAACTAATTTAACAGTCGACCACAACTGATCCACACATTCCTTCAGTTCTATTCCAGGCATTACCACCTTGTTAAACCGTTTTTTCCCCTACTTTTATGAGAACTTTCCACAAAATTCAAAGCTCTATTGTTGTTCTGTACCTTTCTGTTTGAGAACACCCACTCTGTCCACAGACTTAATGAGAAATCACTGAGACGGATATGTCTCTGTCTTTGGCTTAGTTGTTTTCACGTGGTTGCTCCTGGAACGACACTCCAACCACAGCGACAGTCGCCTGATGTGTTGTTGTAGAGTTCTAATATTGAAGAGAAATGTTATCTACTGCGGTAACAACAAGTTTTCATTATACAGATGAGTCCTCTTTCAACCCTCTAGGAGTGACTGAAGCTTTCAAAGATCAAAGCCCTGAGAACCTGCCAGGCCGCGAAGCCTAAACGTACGTCAACCCGAACGCTACGCTATAACTCACCCAGGGCTCCAAATTCATTTTGAACATATTGCTGCAGGAATATTTTCTACTTATACAAGATAGGAATGCAACTATTGTGAAAGGTTGCCCCTTTGCCCGAGAAACACCTCTAGGGATGTGATGGAGGTACACTAAATGTGGGGTTCTAAAAGATGGAGGTGCAGCTCGTTAAATCTATTTGTGAATGTATAATGTCATGGCTCAATGTCAGATTGTAAGTTCCCTGCAGCTGTGATACATATTGCTGTGGTGATATTGTAGTCAATGTTTTCCATAATTAACCTCAACCGTCATATTCCATGTTCACTCACACATACAGCTGCCATCTGCTTGTGGGACGCTCCATTTGCTTTCATTCAGGGTTGTGAAGTGTCCTTTCTGACCGTGGGACCTGTTACTTGGGACATGCCCTAGTTAACGTGGGACCTGTGAGTCTTCCTTTAGGACATACCCCAGTTAACGTGGGACCTGTTATTCTTCACATGGGACCTACCCTAGTTAACGTGGTACCCATTAGTCTTCACTTAGGTCCCACGTTAACTAGGGTAGGTCCTGTTAGTCTTCACTTAGGTCCCACGTTAACTAGGGTAGGTCCTGTTAGTCTTCACTTGGGACATACACTAGTTAATGTGGGACCTGTTAGTATTCACTTAGGACCTACCCTAGTTAACGTGGTACCCATTAGTCTTCACTTAGGTCCCACGTTAACTAGGGTAGGTCCTGTTAGTCTTCACTTAGGTCCCACATTAACTAGGGTAGGTCCTGTTAGTCTTCACTTGGGACATACCCTAGTTAATGTGGGACCTGTTAGTATTCACTTAGGACATACCCTAGTTAACTTGGGACCAATTAGTCCAGCTAATCACTGACACAGAAAGTGCTCTGAACACTGAAGGAGCACAGGGGATAATGAGGATAATGACTATTAATTACTATTAAAAAAATTGGCAGAGTGAATGCCAGAAAATTAAAAGATACGTTCTCTGTCATGGGCTGCCAGTCACAATAAAAGTGACTGGGAGTGAAATGGGCGGCAAGAATAATGCAGGAGAAAGGTGCCAGGCTGGGACAGCACTTGTATTGTATTTACATAAGGTGAATGTGATTACATGCATTGACATACATTTCATTGTATGTATTCACATTTACCAGGAGGAGCTTTGCTTTTGTGTTGATTTAGACGGCGCCTGCGGACAAAGGTAGTTGTGTCCAACCACACCAAGGCTGCCTGAGGAGACCTTTCTTACAGCAGCAGGGTCCTACCATCTGGAGCAAAGGAGTAGCTAGGAGCTCTTCTCCCAGCAACTGTAAGGCTAAATCACTTTTATTTATTTGGATATGAACAATGTCTAGCAACCCAATGGTAAAGAGTTATCTAAGTAAATGTGAAGCATTGTGAATATATGACATGCCCAGAAACTAATCCAACACACGTTCCTGCACACAGTTAAACAGAACCAGGTGTCGCCATGTTTCTTTTTGTCAAGCTTGTCCGACCTAGCTGCACCAACTGAGGGGGCGGGGGGGCAGGTTGATGTGGACGTCTCAGGGCATCTGGTAAATGGAAGGAGAGGTTCCTAAGAAACGCACGGAGACAAGGAAAGAGGGGCAGACTGACAGATGTGCCACCAGGAAAGATACCAACGTTCCTTTTGCTTCACTGATGTTTGTCAGTCTCTAGTACGGAAAGAGTCATCCTACTGTTTGCTCAGTTTCTTTTGTGTACCAAACCAAAACCAAACAGCGAACAGATTGACAAAACACAGAACCAGCTTCCTTGCTGCGGGGGCTCTGCAGCTGCCCATTAGCTCAGCCTCAGCGGGGCAGCTGTGCGGGAACGGACAGCTTGTCATGATGAGTGACAGAGGATGAGGGGGGAGGTTTGAGGCGGGGGCGGGGGGCACTTTACCAGTTTGAGCTGCTTTCAAGCTGTTACTTGTACATTGTGTCTATGTATTGACGAATTCACTGAATTGTAATACAGTCTGGTCCATCCCTCCGTGCTGGTTGTACCTGATCCTCGGTTTTGTTGTGTTCAAAAATGAAGAAACGCCGGACGGACAGAGGTCATCGCTGATCAAAAGGTT